GAGATAGAGAGTTAGAAACATCGATGAGAGAGAGACATCGATCAGCTGCCTCCTGCACATCTCCCACTGGGGATGTGCCCGCAACCCAGGAACATGCCCTTGACCGGAATCGAACCTGGGACCTTTCAGTCCGCAAGCCGATGCTCCATCCACTGAGCCAAACCGGTTTTGGCAGAAATCAGGATTTTAAAAAGATTCCCAGGGGATTCTAATGTGCAGCCAAGGTTGAGAACCACTGGTCTAGAGCGTGGGCTCACAGAACACAGGTTGTGAGGACACACACACGCGCGCACGCACACACACATGCACACACACACGTGTGGACAATGACGGGAGTGATAATGGCAGTGTTTCCTATTGGCTGAGCGCCTTTCTTCACGCAAAACACGTGGGAAACAGAGCCGGACACCTGGGAATAGACTCGGCTCTGAGCAGCTGGGGGACTTGCCCGAGGCCGGGCCGCGGCTGCGTGGGCCGCCAGCGCCAGGCAGGGCCTGTCTGACCTGAAGTCCATGTTCTCATCCTCTAAGGGGGGCAGGCCAGCATGCGGGGGGTGAGGAGCTGGAGCACCCTCCTGGGTCACACGCGTGATTAGACTGGGGGTCAGGACGGGGCGGCCCTGGCGTGCGTGACGCCGGCACCGGGGCCTTCGCAGGTTTTGATGGAGAAGGAACCCAAGGACTCGCTGTGCACGTCGACCCGCCAGCAAATGAAAGAGAACTTAATAAATATACTGTGCTCAAAACACAAATTCAGCAGCCTCTGGTAGCCCCAGCGCACGTGGGGAGGGCCGGAAGCCAGAGCCCCACTGGCAAGGGCGAGGGTGGCCAGGGTGGCTGAGGATGGGCGCCCCACGAAGACCAGAGCGGCGGGCCCTGGGCACAGAATAAGCTGACCCCAGACACTCAAGGTCAGAGCTGTAACTCACACAAGGTCCCAGACACCGCCAAGTCTAGAGTGGGTTCCAGCCGTTGGAGGAGAAACTATAAAGGGAAACTGAGTCCAGACTCCAGCTAACATCTCAGGGAGGGAGGGAGGGTCCGGGATCCCAGCACAGGGAGAGGTTCTGACTTAGCCGTCCGCCTGCAGGCCGGAGGAGGGGGGCCCTGGCCAGGACAGGGTGTCTGACGGACGTGGGGGCTGGGGGGCTCTGCGCTGCATGCTCTCCGACTGCAGTGGGACCCAGCAGGCAGCAGCCAAACACCCTGCAGGCCCACCCGCACCTGGCAGGTGGCAGGTGGCAGGGAGGTGGGCGGGCCTTCCCCAGAGCTAGACCAGGCTCAAATCCCAGGGGTGCAGCCAGGGCGGGGAGATACCTGGCTGCCCTGTAAAAGGTGGCAGGGGCGCAGGGCTTGCCCAGTCCCTGCTCCCAGCCGGGCGGTGAGTCCCTCACAACCCCTGTGGGCATCACCTGGGCAGGGACCTGCCACAGGACTCGGGAAGGCTGGGGGGCCGGCGGGTCTCCGTGTCTCCGAGCAAAGCCGAAAGGCCGGAGGGGAAGGGATGCCTCAGTCCGTGGGGGGACGGGGAGTGGGGAGGGGAGGCGCTGCTCCGGGTTGCGGGCTCCTGGCTATGCTGGCAGATGCCCCTTCCGATCCCAGCCCCGTGCCCTCCTCACCACCTCTGTCCTCCGCACAGTCAGCTGAGGCCGCCCCTGAACCTGGAGAAGAAGTCGCGGCTCCTGACTGTCTGCCTGCGCAGCGTGCTGGCCCTGCC